TCCTGAAATCCATCTTGTTGCCCAATCCATGCCCTTCTTTAGATGTTTGGGGAGGATCAGGCATTTCTAGAATCTGGACCTCAGTGACATTCTTTCACTTCCAGATGAGGAACAAAGAGTCCTCTTGCTTGCCTGCAAAAGTCCTGAACTCTCTGCCCCTGTAACTCAAACGTCCCTGTTCCTCGCCTTCTTTGGATTTCCTCTCTGCTTCTCTGTACCTTAAACTTCTGTGTTCCTGCCCTACTTTGGATTTATACTTTGTGCCTGTAAGCATAGTATCTGACCTCAGAGTAGGCCACGAAAGCTGGTCCTTAACATGTAACTGTTAGAGAAAATTAGAAAACAATATATCACAGATAGTACTCAACCGTGTTGCTGTAAGTACACTAATATGGCTGCAATCCCCTTAAAAAGGAACTTCACTATCAACTATTTATAATCCTTATGCTGCTAACATTAGTAAATAGGTAGGAATGTATATCATATTTACTTGTTTTAAAATATTTTTTTCTATTTCTCCAGTTACATCCTGGTTAGTTGCCTAGGCAATGATGTCACATCTCAGGAGTCTTCTGGAGGGGAGGAGAAATTAATGAAATAGCGTTTTTTGCTTGTGGTGCTCAGATTTGGTGTACTTCCACTTTAATTATGCCAGTAACCAGATGCCCTCAAAATTCTTCAATAGTACCCTGCCTCCTCTGACAAGAAGTGAGGAGGTCACTTTTGCAAGATAAACAGTTAAAAAAAGTACACAAAAAGGGATTCTGACAAGTCATGGTTCAATATATCTATATACATATACTATATGAACTTACTATCAATAGGTCACCCAATGCTCTTTTTTTCCTAAAGAAAGAACAGCTGCTGTTGCAAAATACTTCTCAATATCCTCAAGACAGCTGCTGTACAAGTCAGAATCTGCATATTTCCGGAACAATTGTTATGCCAATGGAAGCCAAGGTCAAGGCTGCAGCCTGCTTGTAGCTAGAGTCACCTGCTCCCGTAAAATTTTGGAAGCAACTAAGTAAAGGTCTATTATAATGTTTAATGTCCAAACAAGTTGTCTGTGAATGATAAATACTGCTTATGGCAGTAAGTAACCATGAGTCACAGTATTCTGGATCATCCTAAAGAAATTTCCACCCAAGACTACTAAAATGTAGCTGCAGCCAAATGTCAGTTGTGACACATGTACAGGGACAGTTTACCTGCCAAAATGTTTAATAAAGGAATGCTTGTACCCTTCTTATTATACCTTAACTTGGTGTGCTATGTGGCTGCATAACATACGGAGGATGGCAATAGAGCTTGAAATTCTGCAGATTCCTGATTACTGCCTGCTTTTCCAACTATAAGTAACAACCACAAAGCCATTTCTTTTTTCTGAAAGCCAACCTAAGCACCTTTCCCACCCATTGATTAACTTACAACTTAGAAAAGCACCTCATACTGCAAATCTTTAGATTTTGTACAACCAACTCCAAAAAGAAGTTTCTGGTGTTCTGAATTTTACAGCAGAACTCTGGGCAAAAAAAATCTTTACATGTCCTTGTTGCCGATTTCCTACCTTCACTGAATATGTCATCCAGCTTCTTGTTCACTCAGTAAATGCTCTGAATCAGTCTATTCAATTTTGAATCAAACCATTAATTCTGTTTGGTTTCCTGTGTGTAAGACTGGTGGCTGCTATGCCTCCTATTCCTCCAGCCACTGGTACATCCCTTCTGAAGTTCTTTCTCCAGGAAACAATGATGTAATTCAGCCCCACTTTAACCACTTCAATAGCGGGCACCTTTACCCCCCTTCCTGCCCAGGCCGATTTTCAGCTTTCAACGTTGTTGCACTTTGAATGACAATTGCGCGATCATGCAACACTGAAATTTGTATCATTTTTTTCACGCAAATATGGTGGTTTTTAATCACCACTGAGTTTTTTATTTTTTGCTAAACAAAGAAAAAAATTAGAAAAAAATGTTTTTCTTCATTTCTGTTCATAAATCTTTATCAAAATGTATTCTGCTACATTTCTTGTGGTCAAAATAACCCAAATCAGTGTATATTATTTAGTCTGTAGGAAAGTTATAGAGTCCACAAACTATGGTATATATATCTGACAATCGATCAATCCTGATGTACTGATGGCCAAACTAATTTCCTGAGGCCTGAAAATGCCAGGATAGTACAAATACACCCCCCCCCCCAAACGACCCATTTTTGGAAAACAGACAGTCAAAGGTATTTGGTAGGAGGCATGGTGATTTTTTTGAAGTTGTAATTTTTTTGTCACAATTTTAAGGAAAATGAAGCAATTAAGAAAAAAAATGTACAATTTTTTTTTCTTTTTTACATATTGTCACCAGTCCAGTATGGTGTTATCATATAACTGGATACAACTGGTGTGGCGGTGATCAGGGACACGGATTGGTGACAGTATGTAAAAAAATATAAGAATTTATTTAGTTTAAATCTTTTTCTATTATTATTTTATTACTTTTTTTTTTTCAACACACTATGACCAGAGCAATGCAATGTTACCATAGTAACGTTGTACTACTCTGGGCACATGATCAGGATTTTTTTTTTTTACACATTATGATTGCTAATTCCAATTTCATTGATATTAGCAACCATTTTTTACTGAATGAAACTGATTCATTCAGTCATTTGTTGTGATTAGCTGTGATTGGGCAAAGCTCATCATATGGTACATGGGCTGTGACTGGCCCTGTCTGTACCATGTGACTGCTGTGACCAATCACAGCTAACAACACAATTGTACACAAGGATGGCATGAAAGCAAGCCATCCATTGTATACAATTGATCTGATTTGATTGGTCACAGCGGTTACATGACACTGGCAGCGGGCCGGTGTAGTGATCAGTCATTGGCTGTGTCCCGTAGGCACAGCCAGAGACAGACTGTGCCACTGCGCAGCCCTGCAGCCGACACCTTTTGACAGGACGTCATATGACACCCGCTCAGGAGGAGGAGTGTCCTGCCCGACCGTCAATCTGCTATAGGCCGGGCGGGAAGGTGTTAAGTGGTGGGTGGACCGAGACTGTACAGGCCTAGTGTACCCGCCTATATTCACTACAATTATCTGTGGTTGATGGGAACTGTAGTTTCCTTTACTGTATAGAGAGAGGAGAGGATATGATGTAATCCCTGCTTTTATACCTCCTCCTTGGCAGAGCAGGCGCTGTTATCTTTTGAATTACAGAGGTAAGGTCATGGAAATTCAATTAGACTTTTCTCCTAAATGGTTAAGGTTTTCAAAATATTATTAACTGTTTAGTGTATGGGGGATGTACTACTGGGTGATTTTTTTGCCTATCCTGGAGTTCTTCAAAAAATGATTTAATATATTTAACAGGAATATATACAGTAGGTGAATCAAATTAATGCTATGTCCCCCCTTTACTAAAATGTTCTTTGAAAAACAGTCCACCTTATTTAGTAAGGCAAAGGGTACTGTACAAAGAGGTGCTCAGCAAAGTAAAAGAATCTGCTTAAACTGGCACAATGGGGTTTATTTACTAAAGCTGGAGAGTCCAAAATCAGACTCCCTTCTGCATAGAAACCAATCAGCTTCTAACCTCAGCTTGTTCAATGAAGCTTTGGCAATGAAACCTGGAAGCTGATTGGTTTCTATGCAGAAGGGAGTCTGATTTTCGACTCTCCAGCTTTAGTAAATAAACCCCAATATGTCAGGGAAAACTGACTGCCCAGTGAAATGTATCATACATTACAAAGAAGCTCATTTTCAGTTGGCACCAAGTACAGTAGGGTATAAATAGTGTACCCTACAGGTTTTTTCTTTTGTGAGCGTCTTTCCTTCTCGTCCTCTATTTTAATTCTTATATCTACTAATCTTAATGAGATAACAAAAAACTATACCAAATTAATAATGGCAATTTTAGGACACAATAGAAATCAAGTCCACATAAGTTTTATATATTCCAAAGCTGCCCAATTCCAGAGAGCTCCTCACATGTTTCTGCTTCTTTCATCTGTGCTCTGTAATTTCTTTTTGTTCTCTTTACTAAATCATCTATCAGATTAAGCCTTCTATTGGAGGTTTAAATCTGATTGGGAAGAAACTCCTCTGAACATAATTCTGAGACTGCAATACTTTAAATTTTCTGTATAGGATTGACAGCAAAAGTCTTGCAATGAGCGTTTTTGAGAAACGTTCTGCTACATAATTAACAGATCAGCAAAAGAAGTTTTTGGGTTATCAGATTATCAACAAAGGTACATGGAAAGGACTAGTGCACTACAACAATGTTGGAAGAAAAACACTCTATGAGCAGGAGGGTGGAATTCTCTGCATTCATTTCATGACTTTGTTTATGGTGTCCCCTTTAGGTGATACATGGGATTCTCGAAAGTTTCTTTAGAGATATTGGGGGCTGCTTTTATTCTCAGCTATGGACTTGTGGCTTTTCCTTAAGTCTCAAAAAAACACTCCGTAAATTGTCCGTACAGTCCTACATAAAACAGTAGCCTGGTACTCTTCAGCCACTTTCTGCCTTCCATTCGCCCTTTCATTCTATTGGCGCCTGCGGGCACACACTGGTAGCTGAGACGGTTTATCTGTTAATGCAGGTTTCCCCACCACAGGAGGCTGCCAAGTTGGCTATTAATCTTGATGCATCTGTTGGCTTGGCAGTTCTCAGCTCTGTGTCTCTCCCAATCCAGCTGAAGACGCATTTCGCAAGTGTCAAGCTCAGTCAAATTCTCTGTCCACCAGAGCTGTGAGTAGAGGAGGCAGGCAACAGAATGGTATGGTTTTCATTTCGGTCTTATTGCAAAGAAACATGAGCTTATGTACAAGTATCACAAGAGGCAACAGGGCACATAGCATCTGAAGTAGACAACTGGAATACTTGGCAGCTTTAATAATTGTAAGGGTAAATGATTAAACACTGATTTAAGAAAAATGTAAATCCTATTTAAAGTGTTACTAAACCCACAACAGTAAAATCAGTCTGTATATGCAGTAAAGCATGCTTGTTATACTCACTGAAGAACCTAAGGGGTTAATCCTCTGCATTGTTTAAAAATGCGGTTTGATCCTGACTTCTCTGATCCTCCCCTTTTTCCAGTGTCACCTTCCTATCACCTGATAAGATGTGGGGAGACACTCTGCACATGCTCAGTTTGGTGTGTATTGCTAGAGAGGTTTTTTTTTCCACTGTTGGGATCATGCTTCATGTTGCACCAATATTTAGGGTGCAACATTAGAGATGGTCCCATTTCCTAAACCTTTACCTTTAATTCCCTACCAACTTACCTAAATCACGGGGTGTGCTTCTCCCTGAAATGTCCAGTTGTTCTTTGTATTTAGTTCCACTCCACCCATATAGCTGTGTCATCCATTCACAAATCCATTCATATGGATCTGTGAATGGGAAGACTACATGTTCCATCTTCTACTGCAGCAGAGGGACTCATGGATCATGCCGGCACAAGTGTGGCCATCACACTTGTAGTCCACTGTTTACTTCCTCTAGCATTCAAGTGTTCCAAGCACCTCTATGGCCACAGGTGTATAAAATCAAGCACCTAGGCATGAAGACTGCTTCTACAAACATTTGTTAAAGAATAGGTAGCTCTCAGGAGCTCAGTGAATTCAAGCGTGGTACCGTGATAGCTTGTCACCTGTGCAATAAGACCATCCAGGAAATTTCCTTGCTACTACACTGTTAGTGGTATTATAACAAAGTGGAAGCAACTGAGAACAGCAGCAACTTAATGCAACTGAAGCGCACAGTGCACAGAAGTTGCCAACTGTCTGCAGAGTCAATAGCTAAAGATCTCCAAACTCCACGTGGTCTTCATATTAGCACAAAAACAGTGCGCAGAGAGCTTCAGGGAATGGGTTTCCATGGCCAAGCAGCTGCATCCAAGCCTTACATCACCAAGTGCAATGCAAAGCATCGAATGCAGTGGTGTAAAGCAAGCTGCCACTGGACTCTAGAGCAGTGGCAACGTGTTCTCCGGAGTGACGAATCATACCTCTCTGTCTGGCAATTCGATGGACATGTTTGGGTTTGGCGGTTGCCAGGAGAATGGTACATGCCTGACTACATTGTGCCAAGTGTAAAGTTTGGTGGAGGGGGGATTATGGTACCAAGGGTGATACCAAGACATTTTGGACAATGTCATGCTCCCAACTTTGTAGGAACAGTTTGGGGATGGTCCCTTCCTGCTCCAACATGACTGCACACCAGTGCACAAAGCAAGGTCCATAAAGATATGGATGAGCGAGTTTGGGGTGGAGGAAATTGACTGGCCTGCACAGAGTCCTGACCTCAACCTGATAGAACACCTTTGAAATGAATTAGAGCAGAGACTGCGAGCCAGGCCTTCTTGTCCGACATCAGTGCCTAACTTCACAAATGCGCTTCTGGAATAATGGTCAAACTTTCCCATAGACACTCCTAAACATTGTGGACATCCTTCCCAAAAGAGTTGAAGCTGTTATAGCTGCAAAGGGTGGGCCAACCCAATATTGAACCCTACGGACTAAGACTGGGATGCCATTAAGTTCATGTAAAGGCAGGCGTCCCAATACCTTTGGCAATATAGTGTATCTGTTTGATAAGTGCAAAAAAAACCCTTCTGATCTTGTCAGAAATTCTGTGTGCAGTGCTTACATCCCGTGTTGTGTCAAAGAGTGTAATTGGCCCTTCCAATTCTTATTCTGGGACTACAAAATGATTAGCCTTTAGGTTGAGGAGATGGGAGAATGGGAGAGCCTGAATAGTTTGAAAAGAGAAAACTGGGCAGGGCTGACACCACTCTTTTCCAAAAATGTGTGTGTTGTCAGACCATACCATGAATACTTTTCTGGCAGATCAGCAGGTAATTTTCAGTACTTGCAATGTAAATAAAACATACAAAAATAGCTTAAATTGTAGGAGTATGCTGCATATATGTTTGTTTAGTTTGCCTTGACATACATTGTAAAGCAAACTAAATTCCAAGTATGCATAATGAAATTGAGGCAATGTTTATGGCACACTGTTAACACAGGCTTTATTTAAGTCAGCCTTGATTTTCTCTAAAACCCTGTTCTACATCTTTGATTGGAAAATCTACACAATTTAGGTCCACATGACACTGTAAACCTTCAGAATTTTTTTTACAGCTAATTTCTCAGTAAAAATTTGTGTTTAGCTCATAGTTGTATGGGATAACCATAGAAGCTTCAATGTTTTACACAGTAAACATACTGGTAGGGTACCAACCCCTTGTATAATTTAGAATCAGTCCTGAGATTTACATTTTACATTTTACTGCATTTTGGTCACCTCCCCACCTCCAGCCTGCACATGTGAGGAGCTTTGTGCAATCTGACAATAGTGGATTCCAAATCTATCGTTATGTCTATATCAGTTTCACTGTTTCCAATGGTTGCCTGGAAAACGTTGCCTGGAATTGAGCTTTGATTTTAAAATAAATCTTGGCAATGGGTAATGGCCCATACACTTTCTAGTGTAGGCGGCACTGATGTCTATGACCTGGCTGGGCTGTCTGGCAGAAGTGTCTGAATCACAAGACTGTTTTAAACAAAATTGCAAATCATTCTGAGTAAACAACAAAGGTTACATACATTTATTTAATTTGTACTTTATTAGTAGCTTTACTAAGCTATTAAAATATATAATATCTAAAGTGTATTGTTTTAGAGTGGAATTCTCTATTTAATACAACTGTAGTAACAACGCAGAAAAAAAATATTGTATCAACTGTCCAGACCTGCTTGTGGGTTTTACTGTAATTTCGGAAACTATTTTAGGCAATTATCATGCTAATTGCTTGCACACAGCCTACAGCCTAACTAAAATAATATAAAAACCACAATGTATGACAAAGATGAGAAAAAAATACTCAGATAAAAAACAATTGTGACGATCATATATTAAACAAGCAAATTTCTAAAAACCCCTTTTGCTTCCTGTAAGTGATTTCAGCTGGCACCTAAAACTGCTTGGATCAAGAGTTTTTATTTTTCTCATATCGTTTTATTTTGATTGGCTGTTGAGAATTCCAAAGAAAGAGATGCTAATCTTCATGAATCCCATTGTTAAAGGGCCCAGAAGAGAGTTTTTCAATGTAGCAGCTGTTCAGCAATACTGCCAACTGTATCTGTCTAAAGTAGGCAAAACGTGCTTCAGATGAAAAAGAGGAGGAGGTGACGCATAGGGGAGCAGTGTGTGAGATTGCACCAAGCACGTAGCTACGAAATTAGGAAATATGTGTAAATTAAAGAGCATTGATGGCTAATTATACTGCACAATGTGACCCCGGGTCTCTACTGCAGAAGATGAGGAGACATTTAACATTCATTATGTCTTTACATAAAAAAGGCCAATAGATAACTTTAAAAAAATACATATGTGAAATTGGCCATATCTGCACAAACTGACATTTTATATTGCACATCAACTGGTATACAGATTGTCAGATTTACGTACGTAAAAGCCATTTTAGGTAAATGGTGACCAGGGACATGAGTTGATCGTTACTAAGTCCAGTTATGTTATGAGCACTTTGGTTCATGGCGCTGAATGGAGTAAAGGTAGGTATATACTGTTGGGAAAAGGAGGATTAAAACAAACCCGATGCTTTGCCTGAATGGACAAAACACAGATTTTTATTAATACAGAACGTTAGGCAAAAATATAACATTTGTGAGCTGGATTTTGTTTTTATTGCATAAGAGACATACTATGCTTCTTGTGCAATAAACGATTCTTATTTCCTCCTCGCAAACACTTTACAACGTATACTGAGTTGCGCATGCACAGCTCAGTGTACAATCTTGGCTCTGCTGGGTGCAGGAAGGAATTATTCTACAATCACACCAGCGGTTTAGGCTGGTACAAATTGTAAAGGCAGGAATCTTCTAATTCCTGCTGTGGCTCTGAGCGGCTAGGTGCGGCCACTGGCCGGCGATGGGTATTCCTGGCAGTCCGCACAGCCAGCAATTATCTGCAGTGCATCCAACAGTGATCACTGCAGGTAAATCACAGGTTGTGAAGAAAGCCACAAATAGCTGTGGAGGCAGTGACCTGTCATTATAGTGAATGGGGCTGGTGGCCGCATGTAGCTACTCAGAGCCACAACAGGAATCAGAAGATTCTTGCCACTATAATTTGCCCCAGCCTAAATCGCTAGTGTGAATTCAGCCTTAACTCCTATGTGCATGTGCGAGATTTACATCATTCCAGCCTAGCCAATCAAGAAGGCTAAAGATTCTGAACCCAGAAGAAGCCTGTGAGGACATCACATCATCAGTAAGTATAGTTCTGCTTTAAAATGTATTCCTAACCAAAACATTTTTTAGGTTTGAATAGAGTAAGGAAGAGCTAAAAACTCTGCCAGATTATTTTTTCTGGTGTCTGTGTACAAATGGGGAATCTTCCTTTCACGTCTCTTCGCAGGGATGCAACATTAAGCTAGTGAAGGGAATTCTACACTTAGACAGTTGTCCCTGGAAGAGGTGCCCCTTTTGGAAGATTTTCCCTCAATTCTTCTTCAGGAAACAATTCTAATAATTCAAACAAGGGAGTAATTTTACCTAATGGGGACGCAGACAGCAATAAAAACTTGACAGAAGCTCTAATCCTTCTTCACTCTATCCAAAGCTAAATGAAAATTTGTGCCTAGAGATACACTTTAAGGTATCTTAGGAGTTTGCACATCAAAATATCTATGGTCAGCTTAAAGTACAACCAGGCAGCTTAAAGGAGAGGTCAAAGATGGCAGCCTACATATTTCTCAGGGAGCGTTACCAGTATTGGCTGACATATGAGATGACTAGACAGTACGTTAGCTGTGTTCAGAGAATAGAAACTGTGAATACAGCAAGAATAAAGATAAATATATACTGTACGTTAAAGTGATACTAAAGGCTTAAATTTTTTGTTCTAAAAATAACAAACATGCCTATACTTACCTGCTGTGTGCATTGATTTTGCACAGAACAGCCTGGATCATCCTCTTCTTGGGTTCCCCCGCCAGCACTTCTGGCTACTCCCTCCTGTTGGGTGCCCTCACAGCAAGCAGCTTGCTATGGGGGCACCCGCTGCTCTATGAGCCCATTCACACAGGGAGCCACGGCTTGGCCCTGCCCCCTCTATCTTCTCATTAAGCTCAAAGGCTGTGATTGACAGCAGCGGGAGCCAATGGCCTGTGGTCTC